CTACTGGAGCCTATAAGATGGCAAATGAGTTCTTTTACCTCTTCATTGTGTATTATGCATAGGGGTGATTCTCTCATATTCAATGCAATATTAAATATCCATGGTACAGGCACCACAGGCAAAATCAAGACAGGAAGATGCTAATTCAGCATACTATTGTATATGCATGATCTCATTCATCGACTCAATAATCTGATGAAGCAGACACTCTTATCTCCATTGTGATAATAGGAAAGCTGAGACTAACAGCTTGTTTGGGGGTGAGGGTGGTCACAGGGTGCTGTAGAGTATCACGGCTGATTCCCAAGGAAGCCCTGAGTCAGCACTGGGGTTCGGCCATCAAGTCATTAATAAATACTACAGATGGTAGGATTTCTAGTTGAGGTTGAAATAGGAAAATGTCTATGCCACCTTCATAGATATTAAGAATGAGATCAATTATAAATTAAGAGAAAACAGGGCTGTCTGTATTAGATAATGTCCCCTATATTCCCAGAGGAAGATGTTTAACCCCAACTTCAGAAGTCTGTAAATCCCAAGTGGCCAACCAAGGCCGCAGAATGATGCCTCAGAGGAAAGAGAGGTGTACAGAGGGGTACAGAGGCAGGAAGACAGGAGGGAAGAGGGCAGGGCACAACCATGAAATGAATGACACAGCAATTCGCACCAAGATGGCAGAAGATTCAACTCCCAGTAGACCCTGAGCTTCAATATAGGGTCACTGACATACAATAGCTGCTAAATGGCCCTCCCACAGGCGCCAGGGCAGTTTCAAGGCTGACCATAAAAGGTCAAAAAGTGGGTGACGGCCCGACTCCCGGGAATCCCAGCTCTTTCCCCAGAGCAGGTGGAATAATCCTCCCACTTGTTAACATACGAAGTTACTCAAGGCCATAAAAACCAACAACCCTGCACCTCGTGGCCTCTCTGGCCTTCTTAGATGGCTTGCGCTCTGTCTACTGAGCATGTATCTCTCTGAATAAATCTACTTTTACTCAACTAAGGCTCACTCTTAAATTGTTTCCTGTGTGAAGCCAAGAACCCTGACTTGGAGGGGCAGGGCTCGGGCACTCGTCTGAGACCTAGGACATGGCCACCCTCTTGTGCCCCATTTTTCCTGCATCAGCAGTAAGGTCCTCATGTCACACCCGCTCCACCCCTCTCCCCGGCCCTACCACTAGTCACATTTTCTGTCATAATCTATTCTTACCATAAATAGTTTTGAGTTTCAAGTCTGTCTAATTCTGTGCCCATTGCGATTTATGACACATTCAATAGGAGCTGGTGGAGACTCTTTCTTTAAGAAGTGGGAAAATATACATATATAATGATATCTATATTCATCCCCATCAAGAGTTATCTGTGCACCAATTAAACATACCCATTTATATTCCTACTTAACACTTACCTGATGACTTCAGGGAAAAATACCTACATGTTCATAAAACAATACTAAGGCATGAGAGGCAGCAAGAGTCTACTCAGCATCCGACTTTTTAAAAACCTACAGACAATATGCCACTGATAAGTAAGTGATGAGATGGTGAGCTAATCCCCTGACACACACACATTCCAAAGATGGGTGTTTCCAGTACTCAAATTGTGATAGAAAAGAACAAATCTGACTCCATATTAGATCTGTTTCTTTGGCTTTAACCCTGTGCCCTGTTTTCTAGACTTAGTCTTGCTGGCTCTGCACCTTTTGTAAAACAATGTTGCCTTTAGCCTGAAATAGACAGGAGAGCCTATTATCAAGGCTCTGACCTTTAGGGATATTAACACTTTTATACTTACATAAAGACAACAAGTTGCAGAATGGAAAATGTTTGTTTTGTTGGAGGTTTACAGTGACACCATGACCTGACCCAGGTGGACAGCTGCAAGATCAAAGGATTCCAAGAACAAAGAATTCCTAAACCAAAAGGTCTGCAACAAGCAACCACACTCCCTCCCCTTTTCAGTATAAAAGGAGCCTGAATTCTGACTTGAGTAGGATGGTTCTTCAAGACATTAGTCTGCCATCCTCTTGGTCTGCTGGCTTTCAGAATAAAGTCATTATTCCTTGCTCCAACACCTTGTCTCCTGATTTATCAGCCTCTCATGAGGTGAGCAGAACGAGTTTGGATTCATTAACAAAAACTCCAGTTTTGAGCTGCAGTATTAATCATGACAATGAGCTTGCTTAATTGTTCCCAAGTGTCGTATATGATTGTTGGGGCATAAAAATATTAGAGACAGAGATAGAGAGAGATGGAGAGAGAAGGAGGGAGGAAAAGGAGGGATCCTCATGCAAGCAGTTGGCAGTAGAGAAGATGAGGAAGTGAAGCAATTTTTTAAAAAATAAAACAATATTAATTACATAATTTAGCAATTATAAAACAAGCCCCTAAACTGTAAAAATAGTCACTTCAACACTCAAATTCATTAAGAAACACACAAGGACGCCAACACTACCACAAAGATGATCACCACCACCACCACTGAATCTAGGGCCATGGCCAGTTTAAATCTTAGCAGCAAAATGTGGAGAAGCTTCAAAGCAAACACACGATTTTAATATGAAATCGAAGTATTTTCTAGACCAGTGTTAACCAAAGGCACTTTGTGCAGTGATCACTCTTGAGCACGGGAACTGTGGCTAGTGGGACTGGGGCGCTGAATGTTTAAGTTTATTTCATTTTAATTAATTTAAATGTCTACATAGAGCTATGGTATTGTATAGTGCAGGTTTGGACAGAAAGCAAGTCAGCCCATCACAAAATGCTCCAAAGTCTTTAGGGATCTAATAGGTAAAATGAAGTCTGTACCCCAAAGTTACTACCAAAACACGATACATAACATCTGAACGACATAAACTTTGTGACATAACTTCTTAACAAGTTGTAAGAAAGATTCACTTAAAACTTGAAAAATGCTACCTCTGTGACAGGAGTATTACACCACTGGAGTGTAAAAAAGGGCACATTTCCCTTTACCAGGCAGATAAATCCACCCCAAAGCATAACTTAAAAAACACAAGGCTGCATACTGAATTTCCTAGAGTGACAGGAATCAAAATCATTAAGAACGCCTGTAACCCAAATTAGGAGACTGCGGCTACGTTTTTAAATCCCACACCCAAAAACAGAACAAAACAAAACCAGCTAAAACTTTCTATTCTCTGCGAGGCTGAGTGTAGCAGTTCAGGTCCCATTCCGTCCCCCAACGTCTACTGAGATATAATTGACATACAGCTCTGTGGCAGTTTACGCCACCTAATGACCTGACATACAGATAACGCTAAATGACTACCACAGTAGGTTTAGTCAACACCCCTGCCCTCAACCAGTTGCAAATAACGATGGTTATGATAATCATTTCCTTGTGATGAGAACGGCTGGGATTTACTGTCAGCGAGTTTCTAGTACAACGTAGGGCAGCGTTAACTACAGTCGCGATCCTCACGTTGTAGGTTACAAGCCTGCGCTTCTAAACCCTTGAACTTGGACACCTGGGCTCCTGGCGCACGTGCTCCCCCGGAGCCCGTCATGAGCGCCCGGGAGCCCCGCACAGGCGCGTCTCGGGTCCCGACACAC